TTGATTTCAAAAGAAATCAGCTGATGACATTCGATGAACAGAAACAACTTTTAGAATCTAAGTGTACTTTGTTATTCAGTTTGTTCACCAAGAAGCTCTTCATCCAAACGCATCAACCATTTGATTGTCACGGAATCGACAGCCAACTTCTCAATCGTTTTTTGGATTCAATTCAGAAAGGAGAGGATCTCACAAAGTTCAATCGTTCATTTAATGTAAATCAGTTACATTTCTAGAATCAACATCAATCAATCAACTTTTTTTAGATAACCAATTTCTATAATGGATCAGTTTATCAACGTTTGAGGATCGTTTTCGAGAAATGCTTTAAATGTTATCCAATTGATATCGCTGAAGCATTTATTGGTAAGGAACATTCAAAAGGGAAAAGGAACATTCTAAGTTTTGATTTAGATTTGAAAAGAAATCAGCTGATGACATTTGATGAAGAGAAGCAATTACTTTATTTCGATAATGGATGTCATTTGACGAGATCGGGACTGAAAATCATTGAGAAAAGATTTCGTGAATCGATTGAAAATGGAATCAATGGTGTTAAAAATGTTAGATCTATGAATCTAACGGTTATTGGATAAAATTATTGGATCTAACTGGATAAAGTTTTCAAATGAAGAGCCTCACATCAGTAAACCTTACGATTACAGGGTACGCCATAATTGGGGTAGGCTAATTTCCGCAACTTTGTTGCATTTATTGAGTTGTTGTTGCACTTTGTTGTTGTTTCACTTATTGAGATCTACAAAATGAAAGGAAAACCATAAAGATTGGCCCACTTAGAAGAAAGTTATGGCGATTTGCGCAAATGACCCTGTTGCTCAAAGAAAATTGCGTAAATTAGCCTACCAAAGCATGAAAAGCATCTATGAAGCTAACGGTTATTGGATAAAATTATTGGATATAACTGGATAAAGTTTTCAAATGAAGAGCCTGACATCAGTAAATCTTAAAATTACGCCATAATTGTCGCAGCAATATAAGTCTTTTAAAGACAAAAGCAAAAAAAAGACAAATTTTTAACTGAATAGCATTTATTCTAGATTAACAATTATAAATGAATCATCAAATTCGAATCAGCGACCATTAGCAGGCCACCATTAGCAGGTCACCATTAGCTCGCACGCGTTTCGAGAAGGCGCCAAGGGTGGCGACAAAATAGGCTGCATCGAGCTCTTCCCACGCTTTGAACAGGATTTCTTGAAGCTTTCCATGTTTTTGTGGGGCTTTGAACAATGATTTTGCTTGTTAAGAAGGCCTTTAACCGTAAATATTGTTTGATCTATGAACAAGAGATCGTAGTTGATTCCATTGAAGTGCATCAAGAACCGATCTGCTCTCAATTTGTTTTTAACGACATTCGAAAGAAGCTGAGCCTTGTTTTTCTTGAAAGCAGTCATTTTGAGCTTATTTTTGAGGATCCGACGCAATGAGGTGCTTGAAATTCTTCTTTGCCATATCTTCTTTGCCATTTTTTGGCGATGCCTTTGTTATTGCCAACTGGTTTGGCTTCTTCCAAATTCGGTCCCTCACTCGCATGATTTTTGTGACGACAGTTGGGCATCGCTTCTTGGCACATCAGCAATTGTTCCCGTAGCTTCGTAGCGTTGAATAGTTTGCCATGATTTAAGCGTAAAATTTGCCAAATCTCCAACAAAATTCCGAACAATTCGCTGATCCTGGAACGCACACAACTCGAAAAACCGATACTTAATAAGAATTTCCAACTTTGCCAAGCAGTGCCTCAAGCACTCAATTACTCTTTCCTTCCCTTTTCCCCCATCTTTCCCCATCGAGGCGGCTAATCAAAGGCTGTGGGAATTTCAGAAAACCCGCTTCTAACCCTTTTCTATTGGTTTTCTCAATATATGACCAAATCCAGGCCACCAATCTCATCCCATTCCATTACAAAGTACCCCAACTCAACCAATTTCTATTTTCAGTACTTCTAAGCGAATTTCAGTACTTCTACAATCTCCGTGACATCCAATTTACCCAATCTAACATTTTGCCAAGAAATAATTATACGTTTTCTCGAAGATTTCCCCTCAAACTTTTCCCTCAAATTACTGATTTTTTTTTGATTTTTTCAAATTTCCAAAAACTCACTCAAATATTAGTCGCATTCTTCGCTGTGACTCCCAGGATGCTCCAAAAGTCAAGTATTTTTAACAATCAGCTGGCACTAAAGCCTTTCTTCTCTTCAGCTCTCCATTCATGAGTGAAGGGTCACCCCGGCTTGAGTCTCTTTCTCTTTCTCTTTCTCTTTACTCCATTCGAGCACAAATCCCGCCCATTCCCCCCTCACTCACTCCTGCCCTCCCTAGGGTCAAATCTGGCTTCAACTCCTCAAACACTAGTTAACCCTCAATCAGGTCTGGCTGGATATTCTTGAAGCCAAAGTTTCACGGGTTCTAGAACTCAAGCAACTAGATTTTTCTTCAGAAATCGCAATCCTGGAACGCACACTTTCCAAAAAGCTAGTTAGTTGCTCAAATTTTCAATGATTTTGTCAATGCTATTTTTTGCGCATCAGTTGGTCTAAAATTTATGGACTTTTATACCGTATACCCAAAATCTTTCTTCTGTAGACCCGATCCTGGAACGCACACTTTCCAAAAAGCTAGTTATTTGTCCAAATTTTCAATTATTTTGTCAGTGCTATTCTTTGCGCATCAGCTGGTCTAAAATTTCTCGGTTTATTATACCGTATACCCAAAACCTTTCTTCTGTAGACCGAATCCTGGAGCGCACAAATGCCAAAAAAATTAGCCAAGTCCTAGTTTTTCATCTTTCTAATTGTCTGACTTTTTTGCTTACCCATCAATTATGCAAATTTCTCCACTCATTCGGCGACCCAATGAAATTTTTTGACTCCAACATCCCCTTTTTGCGTTTTTTTTACCGGAAACGCAAGCATTACTTGCGTTTTCTCAAAAAAAAAACTTAAAAATTGCCACCTGAGATCAAAATTTGGAAAAATTCAGTTAAAACGCGAAAATTTTGGCAAATTTTGGCTCAATTTTCAATTTTTTCCAAAAATTTCGTAAAACCTGGAAGGCATTGCGTAAAATCGAACGAAAAACATGCTGAAAAAGCGGCCAAAAGTAGCGATCGTTCATCATTTTCAAAAGAGAGAACAAGTGAACGCTTTTTTTTTGTTCTTTCTTTTTTTGTTTTTGCATCCATTTCTCTTTTCTATGAGCTCTTTTCTTTTCTTTTCTTTATGGCTGAATTCTCTCTCTTTTTCTCTCATTTTCTATACTTTGATAGCCATAATTTGTCGACTTTTCCCTTTTTCCTTTTTCGATAATGATTCTCTAGTTGTTTTTCGGTGATTCCGCCCACTACTTACATACGCGATTAGCATTGGGAAACGTTTTGGATGTCACAAGAGAATTTGGAGATCTTTTTAGAGCTAGAGCTATAACTTAACAGAAATCACAATGAGATTTTACCGTTCCAAAGAAAAATTTGAAAAATCAGTCATTCAAAAGAATCTAGGGATCTTTAAAAAGCTTCCCCTAGCCGCCTTGACTCATAGAAGTCTTAGCTCAGTGCCTGAGCGTTCGGCTGCAGTTCTAGGCCTCGATGGTTCGATCCCCGTCGGACCCTTTTGCAAAAATCAGAAAAATCGAAGGATCTTTAAAAAGCTTCCCCAGCCGCCCGGACTAATAGCAGTCTTAGCTCAGTGCCTGAGCCTTCGAGTCCAGCTCTGGACCTCGACGGTTCGGTCCCCGTCGCACCTTTTTGCAAAAATCACCAAGTTTTTTCGACATTTCCAACTCCGTAAAGCTTTTCCCCATCAGATTCCCCATCCAGATATTTCCTCTTTTCCCTCAAGACCAGCTAATGATTGAAGATGGATCGCAGGCAAAGAAAAAGAGGCTAAAGAAGTCCCTAGCCCATATTGAAAGAGATCTCAATGAGATTTCATTCCCTTTTTTTCCTCCTCCATTACTCAATGAAATTTCAAATGTCTTATGCTTTCTGTTTTTAAAAAAATATGAGTAATTAGCTTTTTTTTTGAGATCCTTTTTCTCTTGAAGCCAAATTCTTGACCAGGTGAATTTTTTCGTCGCTCTTTTCTTCTGTGACATCCAGATTCGATTTTGCACGGTAGATAGTATTTTCAATAAATTTATCAAACTTATTTTATCTCCACCAGAGCTTAATGGCAAATCTTTAATGGCACGTTCATCCTTGTCGGCCTGTGCTTCATCGGGTTAGATAGTTTTTGTATTTTTCAATAAATTTATCAAATCTTGAATTTTTATCTTCTCTGACATCCAGATCAGATCTTTAATGGCACAGATGACATCTTTAATGGCACAGAATGTTTGCTATATTGTCCAGCTTTTTCATTGACGTCCAGAGCACGTTCCTGTGCTTCATCGAGCTAGATAGTTTTTGTAGTTTTCAATAAATTTATCAAATCTTGAATTTTTATCTTCTCTGACATCCAGATCAGATCTTTAATGGCACAGATGACATCTTTGATGACTCAAAATGTTAGCTATATTGTCCAGCTTTTTCATTGACGTCCAGAGCACGTTCCTGTGCTTCATCGGGCTAGATAGTTTTTGTAGTTTTCGACGGATTCATTCAATAATTGAATTTTTTATCTTCTGTGACATCCAGATGATACCTTTGATGGCACAGAATGTTTACTATATTGTCCAGCTTTTTCATTGACGTCCAGAGCACGTTCCTGTGCTTCATCGGGTTAGATAGTTTTTGTATTTTTCAATAAATTTATCAAAACTTGAATTTTTATCTTCTCTGACATCCAGATCAAATCTTTGATGACTCAAAATGTCAGCTATATTGTAAAGATTTTGAAAGATTCGTTTAGTCCTATTTCTTTTCATTGTTTTGAGTCATTTTTTAAGCTTTGTTCTCACGAAAATTCCCAAATTACGACTACAAATCTGTTTTTTAAAAAGCCAAAAGTTTAGATATTTGTTGAGGAAAATGTTGTGACAATGTGGTGGAATTGGTTTCATTTCGGAGTGTTCACCGTTTTCTGGAAACTCGTAAATGGAGTTGCGAGATTTGAGCCAACAACAATCACTGACAACAGCCTTGTCATCAAGATGATCAAGGTTTGAATGAAAGAAGCTTTATAACAATTGACATTGATGGTTCTTTCATATTAGAAAAGCTGGGAGATGTGCTCGAGTTTTGCAAAAAAAATTCTAGTGCCTCTAAACTCCCACATTTCTTCGTCAATCCATAGACATTTTACTAGTAAAAAAATGCTGAAAGTGTCAGTGCACCAGAAAGGGTGCGTTTCCAAACAATGCTGAGCTGTTCTAGGCATTTGGTAGGAACTCTAAACTCTGCTTAAATACCCAACTTTCCCCACATTTTCTAGAATTCATTCCTACCATCATAAAATCAATCTGTGACATCCAGATCGCATTCCTGACGCTTCAAAGTAACCAGGAACATCTCAATTCCTCAAATTCTTATTCTTAACATCTTAAAATCAATCTGTGACATCCAGATTACATTTCCAACCTTTCAAAGTAACCAGAAACATCTCAATTCCCAAATTCTCATTCCTAACATCTCAAAATCAATCTATGACATCCAGATCACATTTCTGACGTTTCAAAGTAACCAGAAACATTTCAATTTCCCAATTCCCCTAGTAAAAAATGCTGAAAGTGTCAGTGCACCAGAAAGGGTGTGTTTCCAAACAATGCTGACCTGTTCTAGGCATTTGGTAGGAACTCTAAACTCTGCTTAAATACCCAACTTCCCCCACATTTTCTAGAATTCATTCCTAACATCTTAACACCAATCTGTGACATCCAGATTACACCTCCAATCTTTCAAAGCAACCAGAAACATCTCAATTCCCAAATTTTTAGGCTGAAAACGTTTCCTCATTCGATATGTTGGTTTACATCTATGACCTTGATCGACAAGTCGAATTCCGAAAGACTGAGCTACGCGGAAGTCAAAGAGATCAGGTAAATTGGGGGGGTGAAGTGAAAAGATTTCAAAATTGCTTCACTTCTATTCATTTTTCGCCATTAAAAGAGTCGACCGGAAGTTGAAGTGGGCGAATTTTATGTTTCCAAGGCTCAATTTTAAGGAGTTCTCCTAGCTGGAGTGCACAAGAACCCAATCTCACAATGGTAATCAAATTTAACTAAACCAGGCTCTATTCACTAGGAGCAAAGACGGCTAGGAGCCAGCTAGGAGGCCAGATAGGAGCCTGGACCTGGCTGGCCTGATCTGGAGCTTGCTTTGACCCTAATTAACTTAAAACTAACGAAAAACAGGCAAAACCCTGGAGCTAGATCTGGCTGACCTACCTAGACCCTGATTCTGGACCTGGTTCTGGACCTGGTTCTGGCCCTGGTTCTGGCCCTGATTCTAAACCTGGTTCAGGACCTGATCCTGACCCTGGTTCTGGCCCTGGTTCTGGACCTGATTCTGAACCTGATTCTGGCCCTGATTCTGGACCTGGTTCTGCCCCTGGTTCTGGTCCTGATTTTAGCTGGCCTGCATAAACGTTGACCCTAGTTCCGGCACTGGCAGAACTCTTCCCAAACCAGTTGTCAGTTATTTTCTCCCACTAATACCCAACAATGGGGATTGGGTTGACCTAAAGACGGCTGGTCAAACAAAAAGAGAAGAATCACCCATATGTCATCGAGAGAAAGAAGGGAAAAGAGGCCACACCTCTCTGCAATCTCATCCCCCAAAGAGGTCATTGTGATCCCGAAAGCTGAATGGGGAAGATGTTGACCCTCACTTGTTGTCTTGTTTTCTAGGCACTCAAAAGAACAAAAGGATAAGCTCGAACAAGTTCGATAAATATTTGGATTGGGTTTTGATTGATTTAAGTCTAAGTGAAATCTTTAAAGAATATCTTTCGATAGGTGAGAGCTCAGAAATTGGGAATCTGGAAGTCATGCTGTTAAAGGAACAGCTTCACCAGGACTTTAGTGTATTCAGGGCTTAGAAGGGGGCATTGTTTCAATGGTTCAATGGTTCAATGGTCTTCGATATAAAGATTCCATTTCATTCCCGACAGAATCGTTAGATCGAGAGTCGACTTTATTTAGTTGAAAATTCAGTTACTTACCTTCTTTCTGATGTACTTTAACTTTAACTTTAACCTAGACTTTCTACCTTTTTCTATTTTAATACCTGATTTCTGAGTTGTTGATTGTCTTGCTCGAGTGCTGTGGCTTTAGTTGCGATCGCTTCTTCCTTTTGTCGTTGCAGAACTCGAGATCTTTAGGGCCAAAAGCTGCATTGAAATCCCCATCTAGAACTCAAAAATCGTCCTTTTCAACACTTTTTTTCTAGTTTAAATTCGAAAACGATAATAAATTGTAGTCAATTTTGAAAGAGAATCTATTTTGGTTGGTTGCCCGAGTCACTCCGATGTCAATCACCGAAATGAGCATTTCAGAGAAGCATTCAGTGAAGTCCTTAGGGCCAAAAGGCCAAAAGCTCCCCGTTCGTTTTCCCTTGAAATTTGATCTGAAAAGCTGACAAAGCTGAAAAGCTTTAACTAGTAATGGAAAACAGAAATGGAGGGGAGAGGTCAATGGAGAATTAGTGCCCCTTCACCTGAGCCCTTTCTCTTTCTTTAGCCTGTTTTGGGGAAATGAATGAATTCATTGGGAAACTGAGCATGAATCTAAAGACTAATCTAAAAGAATACATGACTAGCTTAAGGCTAAAGCTTACAAGTGGATTTTCAGGGTTGATCTCTTTTCCCATTAGCGCTCTAACTTTGAACTCAAATATCTCGGCGTTGAGCTGTTCAATTTTGATTTTCTTGGTATCATTGGATGCGCCAAGTCTTTCTCTATCGATTGATACCAAAACTATTTGAATTGAACAGCTCAACACTGAGATATTTGAGTTTAAAGTTGGATTGCCAATGGCAAAGGGGCGGAGTCATCAAATCTTTGACAAGCCGTGTTGAGCTGTTCAATTTATAAAGTTTTGATAACATTCGATTTGCCAAGTCTTTCTCTATCGATTAATATAAAAACTATTTCAATTGAACAGCTCAACACTGAGATATTTGAGTTTAAAGTTGGATTGCCAATGGCAACGTAATGGTTTGTTTAACACATTCGCGACGACGGCATTTTGGCCGTACAGCCGCGTAGTCGTTAACTGAGAAATTGGTGAATATTCAAAGATAAATTTACTCTTAACTTTTGTTTTTTAAAGTTTTATAGTTTACGAGTTTCAAAATCGCAAAACTTTGCAAAACTAAAGAAATTTTGATTTTCTCTCTATTCTTTTTGATGCTTTCTCTTTCCAGTATTGCTATTTCCATGCTTTTACCATTAGAGAATAGAAGTAAAGACTTGCTACTTGAGAAATCCTTGAAAATGTTGGAGCTGGGGTGAGGCAATGAGTGTCCAGTCGTGTCTCCTCTCCCGCATCAATCCTAATCACATCAATAGGTCGTCCCTTTCCGCAAATGAGAAGTTCGTGCATCGAATTTGACGTCAATCCAACAAAACTCGATTCAGAATCTCGATAAATAGATCTCCCAAATCCTAATGGCATAGTTAGTCGTAGTAGAAAGATTTGGGATTATATATCCTGGGGTCGGGCAATGAGTGTCCAGTCGTGTCTAGTCGTGTCTAGTCGTCCAGTCTAGTCGTCCGTGTCTAGTCGTCCAGTCGTGTCTAGAGTGTGCTCCTTGTTGACAGACAATTTGTCAGACAAATTTTCATTGACAACTTTTTGTCAGACAATTGATCCGACAAACTTTCCGACAACGCGTTTTCTAAAAGGTGCGCTTTTTAAGCAAAGCTAGAAAGGTCTCCTCTCCCGCATCAATCCTAATCAATCCTAATCACTTTATTGCAGAACTTTGCCTAGAGATTGATTCAAATTCTATTAGAAAGTCTTTAAAGTTGAATATTTATCAGGTTGATGCATAAGTGTTTTTGTTCCTTTTCGTCTGCCGTTTCAAGCCAACAAATGCACGAATTAAACTACGGTTGATTTCATTAGAAAAAGCAATTATTTTTCTGCAAAATAACATTAAAACGGCTTTAAAAATATTTAATGCCTGGATTTTCTTGAGAGTATGAAGTCGGGTAGTCAAAAAGGGCTAACTCGATGATGCGGTTTAGGCTCAGGCTCAGGCTCAGGCTCAGGCTAAGCCTCAGCCTAAGCCTGAGCCTGAGCCTGAGCGGTTTAGACACCTTAGCTAAAGAAAACCTATCTTCGTGTCAATAGATAAAAGATAGAGAAAAAAAACGTTTGATATTTGGCCAAAATTTCAGAGAAATTCATTCAGCCAATTTTTCCGTAGAGTTTTTTATAGATTTTTACGAAAAAGGCGTTTTTCACTCTCGAATTTGCTTCAAAGTGAACCGAAATTCATTTAAAAAGATGCTAATTGAACAAAAAAACACTTTTTTTTATAGAGCAAACTATAGATTAATTCGTGAATTTGTTACTTTTTAACAGAAGTACGAAAAAAACGAAAAGACTTATGCATCAACCTATTATAAAGGTCTCCTCTCCCGCATCAATCCTAATCAATCCTAATCACTTTATTGCAGAACTTTGCCTAGAGATTGATTCAAATTCTATTAGAAAGTCTTTAAAGTTGAATATTTATATATTGGGTTGGGGAGAATGAGTCGGCGCCGAAAATCGAAAAAAATGTCTAAAACTTCAATTCGACTTCGTCAAATAATATGCGTTTGATATGAGTAGAATGAGTTAACTAATTCTTTACAAAATGACATTTAAAAGAAAATTCAAACAGCGCCTCCGCTCAAGAAAAAGCCATTTTTTCACAAAAACTACAAACTGTGATCTAGAAAAAACCATTGGTGGGGTCTTCCTGCAAATTTGGCAACTTAAGTAATTCAATGTGCTCTATCTTTTTTATATAAACACCAAAGAAGGTTTATGTGAAAGAAACTGTTCAAATGATGAGTCGGACTCTTTGCCATTTTAACCAGCTGCGTTTCGAAGTTGATAAACTCCACGAAAGAAAAGCTTTGTGGAATCTCTCAAAAGTGATTTTGTAGAGAAATAGTGGATCCTTTTGATGAAACCAAACGTATGTTTAAAGAAGGCTTTATGTGTGCAAAAAGTCCCTTTAAAGTTCGGCGCCGACTCATTCTCCCCAACCCAATAGATACTTTATTTATGATCTGATAATAAAGTGCGCTAGATTTAAGATTAAAACACATTCATACAGATAACACGAAAAGGGCCGATAAAAAGCAACACGATATAAGATATGGGTAGCACAGATAACGTCAAGGATCCACTAAAGCTTCTAGATCAAGATAAGGTTAGGTTAAAGCTGGGAATAGAAAAAATGGTCGGCGCCGGGATTTGAACCCATGACCTGCCGCTCCACGGGTAGAAAAACTGTTTTGTTTGCTGAATATTGTAGTATAATGTAGTGAAACACAGTATCAGCTGAATACGCCGGTCCTTTAGGTCCTTTTAGGCCGATAAAAAGCCGATAAAAGCAACACGATATAATGTATGTAATATATGGGTAGCACAGATAACGTCAAAGATCCACTAGAGCTTCTAGATCAAGTAATGTATTGAAATTGAACAATTTTCCCTTGTTCATTGTTGAAATGGTTGTTGATCAAAGAGGATTTCTCCTGGAGCAGCAACTGATTTAAATCTTCAGTCATCTAGCGAAGTAACTAACTGCTTTTGCCTGGCTGTCCTGAACTGGGCAAGTTCTTGGGTTTGTGGGTACGTCTAGAACCAGATGCTTGATTTCAAGATCCAGCTGTTTGCTATTGTTATAATCTATGCTTAGAATGCAAATTTTACATTCTAAGCATAGATTCGCAAATTCTACAAACGTACCAAAATCGAATCATCAAAACAAAAAAAAGCAAGAAAATGATTAAGAGATTGTTCTTAGCCATTCTTAGCCATTCTTAGCCATTCTTAGCCATTCTTAGCCGTCGTAGCTGTCGTAGCAACACGATACAATGTATATAATATAAGAGTAGCACAGATAACGTCAACAATCCACTAGAGCTTCTAGATCAAATTTCAGGATTGACAAATCTCCCCCGATCTAGCCTCAATTCAGATCTCAAAGCAATTCAGATCTCAATG